TGTGTGTGTGTGTGTGTGTGTGTTGGTACCAGGGATTGAACTCTGGACCTTGCGCTTGTGAGGCAGGCGGTGGAACCACTGAGCTAAATTCCCGGCCCTGCCTCCACCTTTTGAAGGAAAATTCATCTTTATATCACTACCACGATGCTATGTATGGAATCCCAGGTGATTTTTTTTTTTTCTTGCAGTGCTGGAAATCAAACCCAGGATGCTAGGCCCATGCTCTACCCCAAGCTACACCCCAGACCTTGGTTCCGACAGGTTTTCTTTTTTTATTTAATTATGTTATTTTTATAAGTGCATGTTGGTAGCACATAATGATTACATTCATCGTGGGGAGTTAGTACATGTACGTGGCACATCTCAATTCCTTTATGACTCCTTCCCTGCCTCTCTCTACACCTCTTGGTCTCCTTTCCATTTGCAAAACATGTACTGTTTGCTGTTATCTTTTCCAACAAATGTTCGTCAGAGGACATGAGCTTTTGTCTGGTGTAAAAGGCATCGTGCAGAGCTTTGGAGGTGGATAGTGACAAGTCCCTGATGATCCTGGGGACCCCAGAGGACTGCACCCACGAGGAGTTTGAGGAGAGCATACGGCCCCCCTCAAACCTCTGGGCAAATCTGAAGTGGCTGGGAAAGCCTTGCTGGAGGAAGAGAGAACCAAAGCGGCCACCATCCAGTCTGGCGGAGGACCTCAGTTATGCAGTGGTGCCCGGGAGATCAAGGGCAAGCGTGGGGTGGGTGCCCAGAGGCAGGACCTCGAATTCCTGACCAAGCTGAAGCTGAACCTCTTCCTGCAGGGCGAGGGCGGGACGGTGGAGAACGCGGCCTGGGTCTTGAGCAGGACTTGTGCCCCACAGCAACAGGTCCCAGAGAGCGGTCCTCGAGGCTGCTCCATGTGCCCCTGCCGGGGGAGGACTTGGAAGCCGAGGCCAGTGCCAGGGAGGATATGGCGCCACCTCCGGACTCCTCCGGAGGAGAACAAGGCTGGGGGTGGCAAGAGGCAAGAAAACGCACAAGAAAAACCGGCGACAGCACTGTGCCTCTGACAGGAAGCTGTGAGGTGACATCGCTGGACATAGGGGTGGCGGTGGGCAGCATCCGAGTAAAGTCTGGGCAGTGCCGGTGAGGGTGGGTAACACGTGGGGCGGGCAGTAGTCCAGCAAGTGGGTGATTTTGAGAAAGAGTAAGTCACTGAGCTCACGGTAGACCTGAGTGCTGTGTGAATGAAAGTGCATTTGCATCTGAACTAACCCTGAGCGGGTGTTTCTGTGTCTGGTTGAGTGTGGGCTGCTCCTTCCTCCTCATCCCCTCTGGAGATCTACCGCACCCGACTGCGTCCCAGCATTGCACTGAAACAGCGAGTACTGAGGTCTTACAGGAAGTGGGTAATAACTGCGTTCCTCGGGCTAACTGAGTGGTGTTATTCGAGCAGATGCAGGCAAGAGCTGAGTGATCCTACCTGGCTGAGGGCAGATGTGCCATGCATCTGCCCAACCAACAAATACTTCCTGAACCTCTTCAGTGTGCGCTCCGGTGGGTAATACTGGAGGGATTGTGGGTAGCACCTGACAGTGTGTGAACACCCCGGAGACCGCCTGGGGCCCACCTTGCAGCCCTGAGCTGTCTTGCCCTGTTGCCGCAGAGTCTTGGGCTGCCCCCAGGCACTTGCAGAGGGTTACGGAAGACGGGGCAGGAGAGTCAGGCTTCTAGATTCTAAAGTTTTGCAGGTCTCTTCCAGAACTGAGGACAACTCAAGCAGATCCAGAAAGAACGAGTTGGAATTCCTTGCTCAAAAGAAAGGCTCCAGTCCGCCTTGGCTACCACCATCAGCATGATATCGGGGACAGCACCTCTTGCTTGCTGGGAGGTGATCCAGAGCTCTCTGGGTTTGGCCCGTCCAGAAATCCTGTCACTGCAAAGTCGAGAGCCATTTTTCCATTTCTCAGAAGGACATTCTTTTTTTTTTGAGACAGGGTCTCACTATGTAGTTGAGACTGGCCTGGAACTCACTGTGTAGCCAGGGCTGGTCTTGAACTCACAGTGATCCTCCTGCCTTAGCCTCCCAAGTGCTGGGATTACAGGAGTGCACCACCATGCCTGCCTCTCAGAAGGACATTCTTGAAGGTTCTTCTGGTGCAAACTTGTCTGGGTTGAGATGCCCTATTTTGCGTGCATTAAGCAAAAGCCATGGCTGACCGGGAGGCCACTTGCTTGCCCACAGTGGAGGAAACTGTCTCATGTGTGTGTCTCCAAAAAGCTGCCACTGTGCTCCACACGGGTTTTCCTCAGAGAAGCGTCAGAGGCGCCGTGGAGGAGGGGGCTCTACCCTGACTGG